ATAATAAATTAAAGCATAAAAAATGCTTGTTATTAAATTCCCCCAAACTTAAGTTTTGCAAGGCCTCAAGTAAAATAAAATTATAAAGATAAAACCTAACTTATTTTCGTAGGAATCACAATTACACTTACCATGTGTAACAAACTTTTAAACCCTTAGGTTACCCTAGTAAACGAGTTGTCTCGTGAGGGTTTTAGTGGACCTATCCCCAAAATCCCAATATAAAAATGCAACTACATGATATGCATGCAAAGAAAAATAGGAATTGAAGATCAATCAGATATAAAATCTCAAATATTAAAGAGTTTTCATTCGCTCATTTAATCTCAACTCAAAGTACTCTATCCTCTTAAAATTTATGCTCGATCCTTTCTTCACACCACTTATCAAAAGATTTGACTCATGAGCACTCAGCGTATGTGAAAAGTTTATGAGTTTAGAACATTTGCACTTTTTTTCTTCTTCTTTTTTTTTTTTTTTATCAAGTTCCCTTATGCTTTTTAAGTGACCCATGTAATGAGCTTTTCGCCAATGACTCCCAAACCAATTGGCTTTGGGATATTAGGTGAACAGACACCTCTAAAAACATACTTACTCAAGTAACAAAAACCACAAAACATTTGATTTTTTTTTTTTTTAAGAGCTGCACAACTTAACACTTTTCATGTAAATGATGACGCTTGAACTAGGCACTACCACTCAATTACTTCATGATTTATTGAACATTCTTTTTTTTTTTTCAGTTTTTCTTTTTCCTTTTATGTGCCTTTTAGGTGCTACTAAGTCTTCTTTCTAAACTTCTCACTAAAAATTTGTGCTCAAGTGAAATAATGTGCTTATGAACCTAAACTTAATCAAAATGACATTATTTTTCAAATTTTTTATTTTTTAAATAGGACACTTGTGAATTTCCAACTTCTAAATATTCAATTCTTTAATACTAAGTGATCAAATTCCTAAAAATATATATATTTTTTCTAAAAAAAATGGTATGCAAACAAACACGAATGTGATCTAATGCAAATACAAATATTAAAATAGATTTCTCTCCTTCAAACTTATATCAAACATTGTCCTCATTGTTAAAAGAAATAAGTAAAGGAGAAAAGAAACTTTCTAGATTTTACTCAATTTATTATACTTTAAATTGTTTGTTCTCTTATTGTTCTAGGTTAGTGCACAAGTTTGGAGGAAATTCAAGTCTAATGAATGTTGAAGGCACTTTAACTAAACTAACATAAAAATAATAATAATAATAATAATAATAATAATAATAATAATAATAATGAAGAAGAAGAAGAAGAAAAAGAAAGTTTAACACTTGAGTTACCTTCTAGAAAGCACTTAATTTATAGTCACTAGCTTGACTTTCTCATTACCTTATCTAGGATTGCTTACTTTAATTTAGTGGTTGTCTTGTGTTTGTTGCATCCACCATTCTCTTGGTAAAGTCACACATTTTCAAAAACTTCATGTCAATTTAGAGGCACTTCATTAAAAAATGGTTAAAACCTAATTTAGTCCCTTTACTTTGATAAAAAATCATTTTTTAGTCCATTTACTTAAAAAAAGTCTCTTTTTGGTTCCTCGAGTTTGAAATCTGACCCCTTTTTAGTCTATATCCCCACTACAAGAAAAAATAGCCCTTAGTCTTTTTCTCAAATATTCTCACTAACTTAAAGTTTGAACTTGAGATCTTTGTTCTTGAATCTCATTTTCTTATTGAGTTAAACTATTCTCTTGAAAGTAAGAATTTAACTTACCTTCTTAGTCAAAATTTGATTATTGAAAATGAGGGCAAAAAGTAAAAGCTAGCATTTGTTTTAGTATATCTAATTATGAGTTATATAAAAAAAGATAACATTTTTCTTTCCAAATCCGAACTTAAGATCTCTAACATGAAAACACAAACTTTGAACTATTAAGATATCCCACAGGAGACATAAAAGACAGCATCATACCTCCCTCAACATTTATCTATGTACCCACTACCCAGTACTCAGTCATAGTCTGTTTACATGTATCTCATTGTGATTGAGATTAAGGATTTCATAGGTGCAAACTTTTTAAGTTTTACTCAAGTACATATAATAAGGACTAGTCAATAGTCGACATTAATGAACTTCTTAATGTTGACTTGAAAGATCTATCATTAGTTGAACTGAAAAGATGGAGTTAACAACTTAACATAGTATAAAAAAATTGGCTTGTTACACTACTTAACTGTTATACCAATGTGCTACTTTCTACGTCTAAATCCATATTGAAGCTACGTATAAATATATGTCATGCAGATCTGAAGCAACTTATCATATACACACCAAACTGAACCTATAGAAATCACGCTTTTACAGGGGTTTCCTTTCACAACAAGAAGTCTGCACTCTAATACAAAAGAATAATACTTTGATTGTTATATTTCAAACTAAGAAATCCAGAGCCCTCTTTCTAATTGGAAACACAATAACATGCTAGATTACCAATTTAAAGAGATGATACCCTGGGTTTATTCAGGACAAAGATCTACAAGAATGGCAATATTGAAGATGGCAACATTGAAGATGGCACGCCAATTAGCTTGAAAAATCTGATTAAAACATGGTTTTCTTCAACGGTAAATCTCAATGAGAGATCTTAGACCCAATATAGGAAGTATTTTATAACCACTGAAACCAGCTTCAGAGAACAGCTTAGACCATTCTTCCGCATTCCTCTCCTTTCATGTCACCACCACCATCAATCCACCAAAAGCTGTGTTTCAATCAATTCCTCATCTCCTCTATTCACCCGCACCTTATCTATTATGGTCGTTATTTTGGAGCCAGGAGGCTAAACAATACCAAGGCTTTGTCAAAACAGGGTCTAGCATGGCTTTCAATATAGGTGTCACTATCATTGGTTCATTCTTGAGGGGGAAACGGGAAGCTTTGGTGAGAGTAGACTTGGCAAAATTAGATTCAATCCAAAAATTCGACCCAACTCATCTATTATGGGTTGGATCATGGTCATATGTGTCAACTCGAAATTGAAAATGATCGAAACCAAAATTATCTAAACACAAATAAGTTGGGTCACAAGTAGGTCAGATCACCCAAAATAACCCAAACTTTTTTTATTCATTTTTTATGAGGTTACTTAAACATTAATTTTTAATTTTTAATTTTTTAATTCTAAAAATAAAAATAAATAAAATACCTAAACCCTAGCCTCTCATCAATCTCACTTTCTCTCAACTTTTCCTCTTCTCCACTCTCCCTCTTCCCTTCTTCATCTCAAGCTCTCTAATCCTTCTCTTTGATGGCACTCACATCAAAAATTAGATTATGTGACACATGGTAACTACGTCACGCAGCTCAATCAAAAAAGATCCTTTTTTTTTTCCTTTTTACAATACAAAATAAGAATGTTTATTGAAAATCAAAACCCAGTGCTTGAGATTCCCTCATCGCCATCAGAAGCATAAAGACAACTACATCAAGAGGAGTTCTTAATTGCTTTTAGTTGCTCATTTGTTCTTAGTTAATAATTCGTTCCTAGTTAATAAAAATCAATCCCAATCTGATTTTTTCTTGTATTTATTTAGACATATTTTGGATTTGTCTTTTGAATTTTAATATTGAATAGGGCTATATTTTTTTGTATAATACCTGTATAAATATTAAATAGGGCTATATTTTTTGTATAATACTTGTATTAATATTGAATAGGGCTATATTTTTTTGTATAATACCTGTATAAATATTAAATAGGGCTATATTTTTTGTATAATACTTGTATAAATATTGAATAGGACTATATTTTTTTGTATAATACCCTTATAAATATTAAATAGAGCTATATTTTTTGTATGATACTATTATAAATATTGAATAAGTACTAGATATTAACATATATGTTGGATTTGTTTTTTGAACTCTAATCTTTTATGTCTCTTTTTTTAATAAAGTTAATACCTTTACGAAATTATAAATTTAAATATTACATAAACATTATATATTTGACTATATTTTAGTTCCACCTATGTAATTAGTAATTTGTAATTTTTCTTTTCTTTTCATAAGATTGAAATGAAAATTGAATCATGAAATGAAAATTAACATTTAATATAGTTTTCTAATTAAATAGTTAATTAGTATTAGAATTTGTTAAAAAATAAAAAATAAAAAATTTTTAATTTTGATTTTAGTTTTTAAAAAATTGGGTCCATCCAACCCAATCTAAGATTCATGTGGATAGATCATAAACCTACCCCTTTTAACTCAACACTCGAAATAACTCAATCTGAAAAATCCATAATCCGAGACAACCCAATTCAAACCCATTCAACCCTACTTGTTTGCCAGGTCTAGGTGAGAGTACCCATTTTCTTGGTTGTTCTTCTCCAGCTTTTGAACTGTCAAGAAACTAAATGAACTAGAATGCGCATTAGGCGTAAGCTGAAGGGAGCTTTTGCTGCGTTGATCTGCAACGCAACAACAAGCTCCATTACAGTAATCGTGTAACCATGGTTGTGGATGATATCTGGGATGCCTAAATCAACGACACATTTTAGACACATGGAATTTATAAAGTTGAAAGTGTGGCTCCATACATGAGCCTGAGCTTGAAGCAGCTTAGCGTATTGCTCTCCATAATTGGCTTGATCTATCTTAACTTATCCTTAATCCATGTGGCCTCTTCAAGGAAGCTGTATATAAAGAAGACAGGAGGCACAATGCATCTCTCTAATGAATTTATGGAGGCCAAACTCTTGAAATATATAGAAAAACTAACTCAAAAAAAAAAAAAGGTTTATAAGCTACAGCTCTCATACTGCTTCAATCCACATGATTCATGTTAATGGAATAAATAACAAGAAAATATTCTGCTCCAGTGGCCATGAACCAATAAATAGGCTACTTCATGCTTAATCAGATTTGATAAATTATGCTAAGCTTTACTAACTTTACGGGAAAAGATAAAGAGCATATTGAAATTATGAGCTTGGATAATTTAAAATAATTCAAAAACGGACTTCACGTGTAATGTAGTGCAAATAAGCAATCATGCCTTATGAATGCGTATAATTGGAAAGATTAGAAAATCCAGCACTGACGTATATGCGTCAAAATAGCAAAATGAATCCAGCAACACGTCTTCCACTGTAGACATTCTGCAGGTTATATTTTGCTTTAATACGTCTTAATATATAGTTAGTAAACCTTCAGATGTGGGGGTGGCCGATTACACTGTACACTATCTATGTGAAATGAACAGCACCACCAGGCCCTAGAAAGATAATCCAAGGTACAACTCCGGATTATGCTGCAATGCACATGGTATTGCCACAATAATAAAATGTGGTCCTGGAGCAAACAATGAGCTGACAACCAAGGAAAATGCAGGCTTACTGGCGCTATACTGCAGCTACTTGATCCCTTTCCATAGATGAACCTATCTGCAGCATGCTAAATGTAGGATGCAAATCCTAAAAGTAAAATCACACAAGGAACTGCTCGACCATGTGCCATGATAGCAAGTTTATTTCTCAGCAGAACTTTTCACAACACTTAAACCATACCTTTCTGTAGTAGAGGTCATGTTAGCTCCAGCAGAATTCACATTTTCAGAGGCACTTTTTTTATTGGTCTTTGCCCTGCCCTTTACAAAGATCCTATCATCTACAGGCACCTCAGCAGTGAGCCTTCCCATCTTCTTCTGGAGATCCACAAGTGGGTCTTTTACAACTTTCCCCTTTGGACTCTTTTTCTTTTCATCAACAAGTTTGAGTTCCATTCTATACAAGGCACAAATGTTACAGCCATTGATCTCATATTCATATAAATGCCACTCAAAACTTCCTGAAGGTTGTGGATCCATGTAATACGACCTCTTCTGCCCCCCATATTCTTTCAGCACCTGCTTCCTTGATTCATGCCAACCCCGTCCAGAATAATCAGGCAATGACCTCTGCTTTCTGTTCCCACTCTCAAAGGCTCTCCTAGGCTTATCAAAGAAGAGCCACTCTCGGATCGTTTCCCCTTCAAGCAAACAAAGATCAAATAGTTCTGCAATATAATGAAAGTCCATTAGTCAAAATAGGAGTAATCTAGCCTGCATGACACCAATTGCAAGAAATAATGAAAAAAAGAAAAAAGAAAAAAAAAAGCCAGAGAGCAAACATCACACATACGAAACTGCACAGTATCATGTATACTATCCATTCTTTAAGGTAAAAAGAAGGTACCAACAAAGAAAAAGAGAGAAAGCAAAGAACTTTTTACCAGTGGCATTCCATGGAGATTTCTCAGTAGCAGCTCCCTCACATTGAGGAATGCCCACATTCTTGCCCTGTGTCTTTGCCTGAACAGCTTCAATTAGTAAATTATCCTTCAAACTTATTCCTCCAGGACGTAAAATAGGAGTCATACCAGGACGGTCTTCATTCAGAGCTAATGTAGCATGAAAGCAGCTGCAGTAATCCTCATATGATTCAAATCCTTGAGCAGGCCTTGTGCAATCCCAGAGTGCACATTTTGGTCCCATGAAAGCAGATGGTGGATGAGAGATATTTGGCAAAATATTGGGTCCAGAACCCTTTCCAAACAGTTCAGTGCCATTGGCTCCAAGCAGACGCCCATGGTTGAATTCTTGATTAAAATTTAATTGTTGATAATTGAACTGAGAAGTTAAATCTGAGCTGCCAACCACTGTCTCCTGTAAAGCTACAGCAGTTCCATTGCAGGGATCAAACCCTTGAAAACTATGTTCCTGCACCCCATTAACCACCGTCTCTTGTAAAGCTACAGCAATTCCATTGCAGGGATCAAACCCCTGAAAACCATGTTCCTTTGCCCCATTAACCACCATCTCCTGTAAAGCTACAGCAGTTGCATTGCAGGGATCAAACCCCTGAAAACCATGCTCCTGTGCCCCATATTCCTGAGACATAAAGAGTGTTTGATCTATCAGCCACTACAAATAGAAAATGGGAATGGGAAAAAAACCTAGAGGTGTTTAAACTTTAAAAACACATGAAATATACATAAACCAACGACACCACAACTATTTCTTTCCTTTTTTTTTCTTTTTGGAGTTTCAAAAACAAAATCAAAAATCTTCACTCATATAAATTTCAGGCATCATAAAAAACAAATCATGAACCAGATCCGCAATACACAATTTTTCTGATGGAAAGTAACATCAAACCTCCAGAAATGAATCAAAGAAAACCCAGAACTTAGCAAGAATGAGTTTACCAATTATGATTCCTAGAATTTCTGAAAATTCCCACCAGAAGGGAGCACTTATTTTCTGAAAACCCAGACATAATATTTTCAGAAAAACAGTGTCACATATCATATGATAGAACAGCATTAAGAATGTACATCTTTTTCCTAATTTAAAAAATCAAACCAGAATACATAAGAAAAAAAATCCTGTTTCCCACCTCTGAAATCACGTTTACATTACAGTGATCAAGGGTTCGAACATTAGTTTCAGGCTTCAACTCTGCTGGTCCTGCTAATGCACTTGTGGCATCATCTTCCTCCCCACATAATTGCAACAAACGATCCATATCACCTGAGAATCCAGCACTAACTTCCTGCATAACAGCCATCAAAAGATTCCTTAGATCCATCAAAGGTCACTCTATTCCTGGATAACGAAGCCAGTTCAACCATTTCATAGAATTCACCTTCTATTTCAAACTGAAAAGTATCAATAAATTATGATGTCAGACACATACAAGTAAAGAAGAGGCTGGGGATGGCACATTGAGCTCAGCCTTCCACTCGCGAAGACTCTGATACATTTGCTCCTCCAACATTGCCACATCAATGGCTCGCCCCTCCTTCCTAGCAGTTTGAAGATGAGTGAACCTTTCTTGGAGATCATCAAGCCGGTTCTTGGCATTGTCCATCATTATCTGGTGTGATGTCGATGTACACTTACTCTTTGAACGGTTCTGCATCTTGCCTCCTCAAAACCCAAATGTACAGCAATGTGATGGCCTGATGTCTTCGATTGTGCAGTTACAATCCTCCTTCAAATGTCAAAACCCTAACATGAAATGAAACCAGAATTAGTTTCTAAATTTAATATCAAAAACCTAAATGGAAAATATATCAAAAGGAAAAAATTACTTAAACAAGAAAAATAATCACTAAAAAAAAATTCTGTCTTTGATTTTTCACTCTTTACAACATCATATAAATTAAAAAAAAATTCTCTCAAGAAGAACTTTTTGCCATAATTTTAAGGAACAATTCAATTCTCGGTATTAAGCCATGAGAGGATAGAACACGAAAATCCATTGCCTAATTCAGAATTCTTGGAAATTCTTGGCAACTAAACAACAATCGAACATTACAATAAGAACCCAATTTGAAACAATCGCCGATCTCAATTTGCTTGGAAACCCTAAATAGCCAAAACCCCATCAACCCAATTAACCTAAAATCGCAGCATTAGCAGAAAAACCATCAGAAAACACCACTTCCAAAGCTAAGCACATTACCTCGAGCAGTTTCAGAGACCATTTGCTTGGAAATCTGGGGAAGGCAAGAAAATTAGTGGTGTCTTTGGAGAATATCTTTCGCATGCAGCGACGGTGAGACAACAGTGGAGACAGCAAACAAGCAAGTCCCGGCAGAAATAATGAAACATTCGTAGTCACTTTTGATTGAGGGCTGAATGTCATATTTCCTTCATAACTATTGGTTTATTATCACTTTAGTTTAATAAATTTAGTTTCTTTTAAATTAGTTCTTTTTTTTGGGCCAGCGTTATAATTTGGTTTAAAAACTTTAGAAAATGTACTTTTATTTTAGTTTAACTGATAAAACAGTTAATAACTACATGTTCAAAAAAAAAAAAAAAGTTAATAACTACAATGATTTTGGAGTTCTTATGGTTTAATGGTCACCTCTCTCCCTTGTAAAGAAATTCTTATGCATGTTGTTTTGAAGGTGTAGGGTTCAAGTCTCGTCTCAACGTTTATATAAAAAAAAAAGTTAAATATTAATTTTGGTTTTTTAAAGTTAAGATTTTACATAATTTTTATCTTTTAATTTTTTTATGTACTTTTTTAATCCTTTAATTATAAAAAATATACTTTTTTTAGTTTTTTGTTAGTTTATCCGTTAAATTTATCTAAATATACACATTTTTAATCCCTTAACTTTAAGTTGAGGAACAAAAAATATGCATATATCAAAAGTTGAGAGACCAAATATGTGAAAATTCAAATAGATTTAATGGATTAACTAACAGAAGAACTAAAAAAATGTATTTTTCATAATTAAAGGACCAAATAAGTGCATAAAAAGTTTAAAGATAAAAATTATGTAAACTTCAAAGTTGAGGGACTAAAATTAACATTTAGCCTAAAAAAAACTACCATGACTTTAAAATTGCAGATAGATGGTCGCGGCAAAACTAAGCCAACATTTAAAGTCCCTTCCTAAGCCTGAATTTAATATTTCCTTAATTAAATATTGATTTCTTACCACTTTAGTTTAATAAATTTATTTCTCATAAATTGGTTTAAAATTCTCTAAACACATAGCCTATGTTTTATTTAGTTATTAGGAATAGTTAATTATTATGTTATATTTATTAACTAAAAACATATTAAAAAGATGTATTTATTTCTTAGCATTTTGAAATTATTAAGTTTGGACCGAAGACCACTTTGGAAAATGAAACATATTTTTTATTTATTCTTTTAATTTATTTTAGCTACCAGCGAGTCTACCATTTTTAAACGAATAAAGTTTTTAAATACGTTTTTCAATCAAAAAATTATTAAATGCTTTACCATTTTCTGCGAGGAGAAATTTTATAGCTATTTAATTTTTGTTTAAAAGAAAAAAGTGTTTAACAGTGACAAATAGATAACTTTTTAACAAGGAAAATGACAGTCGAACTAAACAAACGATGAATGAAAAATGAACTTGGTATCCATTCATTTATTTGATGTTATTTTTTCATTTTCGACCCGTATAGAATTACTCAGTTAAACAAACACAAGCCGATTAAAACGAGATTTCGATTTCCATTCATTTCCCTAAACATTCATGTTAGATTATTTCAGCAAAAGTTGAATTATTTACAGAGGTAACAAACTGTTTCTCATATAACCCAAAAAAAAAAAAAATCTGAAATATTTTTTCGAAAGGTTTCTCTTAAGCTTAACGGTAGCATCCGCGGTATGACCTGTCTACTAGCTCCTTCACAAAATTTAGTTATCAGGTTATAGATGATTTTCTGCAATAAAATTGCCAAACAGAAACAACTTTAACTACCTGAATAGCCAATATCTATCTTCAAACGTAAGTAAAACTGAAAAATTTCTCCAAATGCAGATAAATTTAGGTAAGTTAGTTCCTACCTCAAAATTTCAAGCTGATCAAGAGGGCTTTGCTTTAACATTTTCGGTTCCATTTGCATGCCTGAAGTTGAATAATCCAGTAAGTCCTTGTCCTCTGGCAAGTTTCTCCAGCTCATTGAGTTTCTTTTTAAGGGCCTCAACTTCTCTTGATAATTCTTCATCTCTTTGCTTCATGGCCTAGAAAAGTCAACAAAGGATGACCAAATCAGTAATGATCAAGAGAATGGTTGCATCCACCTCAAGTTGATTGTATGGACAACAACAAGAACTTAGAAACTATAGTTCATTACCTTCTGTGGTGATTATAGAACCAAAGCTATATATATCTAGTGACAAGATAAGAACAGTTTAAAACATAATAACTCTACCATAAGATCTGTACCTGTGCTTAAGAAATAGAGGTACTATTATCTTAGTAGCTAAAGAAAATAATAAGGATTAATGGTAATAGAGCTAAAAGTTATGTGTCTCTCCATATATTACCAGATTGTAAACTACAGAAATTGAAGTTTTCAGTAGGCATTCTTTTTGTACACTATACTCAAAAAAGTTTTCCAAATTTGAGTACAACCACTTCTGGTGCCTTCACTGAAAAGAACTTTATAAATGTACAAAGTTTACAGAAAAATAAATTTTATAGAAAATGAACCTGGTGGATAAACATCACAAAGCAAAGCACCCTTTAGGCAGAATGGCAGACAAAGGTAAAGAGTGCAAGGTAAATTTTATGCACCCCAAAGCTTGTCTACCTAAGTAGGAATTCCCTTACCATTACCCTCGCATGTCAGGGAGAGTAAGATGAACATGATGAACATATGCACCTACTATGGAAACATTTAGCAAAATGTGGAGAACCAGAGGAATAAAAAATAAAATAAAAACACACCTCCAATTCCTGCTTGCGGAGCTCCTCTTTTTGTGCTTCTGATCTAGCACTTCTTTGAACCTCAAAAATAACAGCACCTCCGGCAACCTATAAAGAGAAAGAATGAGGATTGTATAATTCCAGAATGTAAACTGTTAGCACAATGTGGTATATTAAAATTACAGCAAAGGAGATAGTCAGTGAAAGCTTTTCATCATTATGTTACATATGCATGTAAAATTCATTAATAAAAAGGGCCAAGGCAAACATATTTCAGATTGTGCTGATAGAAAATACAAGTTACTAAGAATTTATGTTCATGGGAACCTCCTCCAAGTTAACATTGACTTAATCAGAGACTTGAGCACATATGCAAACTGAAAAAACTCCAATTTCCGCTTTGCCTCAGCCAAGAATATAGAAAAAGTTGCTCTTTCCTGAGATCACAAGATGCATGCTTTTGCTCTTTCCTTAGACAAGCTTGTCAGCAGTAGGGTGACACGGTAGAGAAACTGTAACTCTGGCCTTATTTAGTACTAGGGGAAGCATCAAGAACTTGCCCTTTACCCATGACTATTTTAAATGTACAAAAATACTTGCCAGCCACCCAACAGGGTTTTTTTTTTTTTTTTAATTTTTTTGACTCAGCAAAGAAAAATCCTTTTAATGTGGAGGACAAGGGGAATCCAACCCATCACAATTCTTGAGTACATCACTGCTTAACATTGTAAGTCCCTGTCCTTCACATTTTGCATTACTCACCAGAAAAAAAAAAAGAAGGGAAAAAATCAGGGCTATATTCCAAAATTTAGTTCATTCCTAAACAGCTTTCTTAGGTGCATTGCACCACTTTTCTAAACATAAATCTTGTCTTTTCAAAGCTCTATGCCAGTAATAGGTTCTAAGTTTTACCAGTTCCATCAGCCCTTCCTGAAAGTCCAACTCTTCTTTAAAAATACATTGGTTCCTCCAAAGCCATATTGACCATAATACAATAAACCATATAACATTTGTGAATATACAAGTCATGGTCTAATAGAATAGAAAAATTCTTGGTCTGACAAGTGAGAGAATGTACATTAAAGTCTGCAAAGCTTCCACGTTAGCAAAATGCTATAAATTAAAACCATTTCAATTCAACCATCATAGGAATACCTTCTTCAGTGGGACCACAATTGGATATGACATGGTGGTGTTTCACGCAAATACAGATTGTACAGTCTAAAACCCCAGGAAGCCAGAGGATTTACCTTATAAATCACATTGAGCAAAGAGCCTAAACTTGTCAAAACCATGCTTTTGCATAAGTCATGCACAAAACTCTCCCTGAGCGAACTTTTAGTTGTATTTGTACACATTGGAACCCTTGAAACATCTAAGATTAGAAATGTGAAGAGAGAATAGAGGTACCGAAAACACAAAGAGCTCTCCAAGAAGTTCTGCAGCAGCTTGGATAGCTTTCTCCTCATTCAAAGGGCGAATCACAACATCAACTGCATGACCATAGATACGCCTTTGCATCCTTGTTGTAAATCGATGATTAGCCTGAATGAGTATCCAAAATCCAAAGATTAGCATGAGTTTTATAGATAGACTACAATTCCCTTGGGTAAAATTTAAGAACATTTACTCATTAACAAAATATGTGCCAACTTAACAAACAACAAGATTAACACAGAATTGCAACTTCAAGAATAATTTTAGAAACTAACACATCAAGCAAAAAGTTGCAGACTATTAGATGAATAGGGCCAAAAAATGGTGGCAACCGCTCAGAAAGAAAAGCAACACAAAGCAAGCAAAAATGATCATCAAAAAAACCCATTCCAATATGAAACCAAAAACCCAGAAATGATGACACACAAAGCAAGTAAAACAAATCATCAAAAGAACAAAGTTCAATCTGAAACCAAAAACCCAGATAGAATTAAACAGAAACTGGGAATCACAATGATGAAAGGGAAGAGAAGAGAACCTGGGCAATGTTGATGATGAACTGACGGAACCTGGGATGCAAACCGGCCTCTTTCTTGAGGCGATTAGCAATGGGTTTGCATAAGGTTCTCAGTGCAAGGGTTCCTAGCTTTGCCAATGGTAGTATCATCTCCCTCGGTCTCAACCCCTTCTCTGTCTAAGAATTTTTTGGGTTTTTGAGACAAAGATTTCAGCTTCATATTTTATTTAAGATTTATGATAATAATAGGCAAAGATGTATATGATAAGCTAACCAGCTTTCATTTTTTTTTTTTTTAATCAGCCCTTAAAGCCATTAATGCATGAAAATTCTATAGTTATAATATTGAATTGTAAATTTATTATTATAATATTATATTAAATAATTATTAAGTAAGTAAATATGTGTAATATTATTAATAAATTATAAAATAAAAAAATTATTTATATAATATTATATTATAAATTTATAATATTATATAATATTATAATTATACTATTTTTTTATTAATTTCAATCTATTCTAAAGAAGGTTATTGATTAGCTAAAATAAAATCAACTTAAAGCCTCTAAATCTCCACATTATCTGTGGCGCACCCAAGAAGCAAGAGCCCCCAGACTTTAAAAAAGAAAAAAAAAACAGTTATCTTTTAAAAAAAATTAATATGGTGTTTTTATTTCAACTAGTGTCTTGTTTGGTTTAAAAGAAAATAAAAAAAATAAAAATAAAAAATAAAAATAAAAAGAAAGTTGTCTTGTTAAATTAAAATGTTGAACAATTTAGGCAGACAATTTTGGCTTATTTTGAAAAAGAAAGTGCTGTAACTACTGTAGATCAGCCGAATTAATAGCTATAAAGTCCTTTGCCAAGATATTGAGTTTATATCATGACGCATGATTGGGATGAATTAAGTTAAAAATTTTTATTTTGGATCTCATTATGACATATAATTAAGATAAGTTAAAAACTAGAATATAATTGTTTCTTATTTTATAATTTAAAATAAATAAATAAAATAAATATAAAGTCCTCTGCTATGCATGCCAGAATATTACAAATTACAATTAAGAAACTACTTAATAGGTTAATAATTCCTAATATCAAATAGCTTATTTAGCTTAAATTACACCACACTTAAAAAACGTTATTACTGGAACAATTCAAATCAAGTATTAGATGCATACTCTGGAAAAAGCAAGCTTCAAGAAGCAATTGTTTTATGAATACTCTTGTCATAAAAGTGAAGTATTGATGGTTATAAAAAGTGTAGAGTAAATTACACCACATTTTTTATTAAAAACGTTATTACTAGAACAATTCAAATCAAGCACTAGATGCATACTCTCGAAAAAGCCAGCTTCAAGAAGCAATTGTTTTATGAATACTCTTGTCATAAAAGTGAAGTATTGATGGTTATAAAAAGTGTAGAGTAAATTGAATTTTTTTTATAATCATTAATAAAAGAAAAAATTTTAACATTCATTAATGTTTAAAAGAAATTCATTTTATTGACTACAAAACAACAATTCTTTATATATATATATAGCATATTAAAAATAACTTTAAAAATTTTATATTAAATAAATTAAATAAAAAATATTCAATTAGTTCATTTATATACATTCAAATAATCAAAGGTGGACAATCAAAATGGGCTAATACACAGTTGTAGTATTGTACAAGTGAACTCTATTGTGCGTCATTTACCCAAAAAAAAAAAAAAAACCCTAACGTAGCTTTAAGGGGATGTTTGGTTGGGGAAATTTTTTCTTTAAATATCTCTAAACTTTTTTACTTACAAGGATACTTATGTTTTTTTATACATTAATATTATAATAAAATAAAGATAAAAATGATATTTTAAATTTGTATTTAAAAGAAAAAAAATTTCCCTTAAACTTTCCCTATATAAGACTTATTTATTAATTTTTTTATTAATTTGTTTTATACTAATTTTTTTATCAAATACAAAAAAAAATTAACAACACAACTAAATTATAACAAAACTTTACTAAAAAAATTTATTAACTTTTTATACGATATTATAAACTTTCTATACCACTTTTAAAATAAAAATATTTTTGATGAAATTGGCTCTCTAACCAAAGAGGCTCTAAGAGGTTTTTGCTGAGGTTTTGCTTTTGCTGCATGAGGCATGACATTTGTAGGGTGGATGCTTAAAGAGATTTTTCTAGGTGAAGTAGATTAAAACATGAAAAATAATTATTTTTTATTGTATAATTTAAAAAACAACGAAAAAAAATTAGGTTAAAATTTCATTTTGGTCCCTCAACTATTGTACAGACCCCCGATTTGGTTCCTGAACTAAAAAAATCTCTGATTTGATCCCTACTGTTTACTATTTTGAACCCAATTTAGTCCTTCCGTTAAAAATTGATTGACGTGTCCCATTACCTAACGGAAATAGATGACAGCATGGCAAAAAAAGAATGATATGGCAAAATAAAGAATGACATGGCAAAAAAAAACCTTAAAATATTTCCTCTTTTTTTTTCCTTTCATCTTCTTCCTTCCCTTTCACTTTCTGCAAACCCTAACACCTTCTAACATTAAATCAAAAAATAATACAAACCCAGAATCTCCCCAAACCAGTCACCGCCCTAAATTCTTTCTTTCAACCTTCCCAAAAAAACTCAGAAATATCATGACATATTTTTCCAAAATTCAAGTTTCTAAACATAAATATTAAAAAAAAAAAAAGAGAAATCGAACCCTCGCTGGGTTTTTGAGAACCCAACAGATGGCTAGGTTCTTGATCGAACCCTCGCTGGGTTCTCAAGAACCCAGCAAATGGCTAGGTTCTTGATCAAACCCAGTGATCTGCTGGGTTCTTGATCTGCTGGGCAAATTTTTTCTCTCAACCAAATTTTGCCAAATTCTCAATGAGAACAGCCCACACAAACAAAATATTCACTAGCAAAATAATTAGCTGCAATCCAAAAATATCCATAAAATTCAAGCTTCTAAACATAAATATTTAAAAAAAAAAATCAAACCTGGCAAATCGAGAACCCAGCAAATCGAAGAACCCAGCACGCTTGCCTGGGTTCGCACCGAACCCAACACGCTTGGGTTCCTTGCGAACCCAGGCGCTGGGTTTGCAAGGAACCGAACCCAGCACGCTTGCCTGGGTTCGCATCGAACCCAGCATGCTTGGGTTCCTTGCGAACCCAGGCGTCGGGTTCGCAAGGAACCGAACCCAAGCGTGCTGGGTTCCGAGGGGAAAGAGAAGGGAAAGGAGAAGGGGAAGGGGAAGGAGAAAGAGAAAGGGAAAGGAGAAGGAGAAAGAAAAAAGAAAAAAATTTTA